GGACAGGTTCACAGGCAAATACACACACACACACACACACACAATAATCACATTGAGTCAACAATCACATTGACACACTCACAGACACACAAAAATACTCATATGCGAACAAATACACGCATACATAAATGCACTCAAACAAACACACACATATGCACGCACAAAATACTCACACGCGGACACAAACGCATGCATAAATACACTCAAACACACACACACACATTCAAACAAGCAAACAAACAAACACAAAAATATGGTCACTCATATAAACACACACCAACACACAGTCTAACAAACCTCACAGCTCACATTCAGCTGCTCACTTGCTAATGCTCACTGTGTGTGTGTGTGTGTGCGTGTGTGTGTGTGTGTGCAGGTGGTGCATATAAAGATGGTGACCCCTAGAGGAGTGATTGAGAAGAGCTGTCTTGGGCCCCGCATGTCCACCGGCCCTGACATACACCACTTCATCATGGGCTCTGAGGGTAAACACGACAACTTCAACACACAATAAACAACAACAACAAACCCTTTCTTATTTTGTCAGTAGTTCAACAGCAAAATTGAGTTTTTCGAGGGATGTTTGGGACAGTTTGGAAAACGCGAAAAACGAAAGTAGAGGTTTCTAAATTCCCCTTAACTTGTAATTTATTGCGTACAACACAACAAACATTATTTGATGTGTTCCTCGTGGTTTTATTGTTTTTTTTTTTAAATCAAAATAAACACATATTCCAGTTTTGGTTCTTGCACACACTTTTCAAACAGGTTGTAAAAGTAAGGCATTTACCGCTTAGTAATGTGCCGTAATGTAAACACTTAACAGATGTTTAGGGACTGAAGACATCAAGTGATGAAGTGCTTCAGGTGTTATTTTGTCCCATTCAACTTGCAAACAAGTCTTAAGGTGGGCAACAGTACAGGGTCTTCGCTGTCGCATTTTGAGCCTCAAAATGCACCACACATTCTCTATTGGAGACAGGTTAGGACTGCAGGCAGGCCAGTATGCGGTACGCGGTGTTGTCGCGCGCGTACTCAAGAGCGTTGTTGTCGCGCGCGTACTCAAGAGCGGTGTTGTCGCGCGCGTACTCAAGAGCGGTGTTGTCGCGCGCGTTCTGATCAGCTGTGTTGTCGCGCGCGTACTCAAGAGCGGTGTTGTCGCGCGCGTACTCAAGAGCGGGACCGAGGGTGTGCCGCGTTGCGGGGGCACTTTTGATCATTTTGGAAGGGCACTTTCTATCCAAGACTAAAAAGGGCATGTGCACTGCACAGGTTGAGCCCTATGTGTGCACGTGCCTGGCCGCCACATTGGTACAGTGGTTTTTTTCTGTTTTTGTATGTTCTGAACTGTTGTGTTAATCAGGTAACGTTATTGATGATAACAGTCACATACTGCATTCACCATACGGCAAAGCAGCTCCAACTCGCACTAAACACTCGGCTTATGCTAGTTTTGTTGAATAAAATCAGCAAACAATGCAAAAGAAATACGACAACGAGACGCTGCGCTGCCAGAAACTTGTATTATTGTCGGCTAGTGAACGAGTCGTTCATAACGGAGATTCATTCACAAACGAATCGCTCCCTCCGTCAGCATGAGAAGTGAAAGCAGGAGAGGAGCTGTGCTTCAGGACATGATTAGATTAAATTTAACAGGGAGGGTGAATAGTACATTTCTGTCCACACAAACACAAGCTTGTTGTCAGGAATGCCCGTGCGGTCACTGATCCATCAATGTAGAAAAGTGATGTAAAATTATAATTTTCGTAATTAGAAAAAAAAATTACATACTAACATCCAGGAAAACTCCCGATCACAGATATATGTGTATATGTGTATATCTCTGGCTTTGCATGGCCACAGTCCTCCACTGTACCTTGGTCCCGCATTCATTTCAAAGGAGCGCTACCCTGTAGCAAGATGGCGACGCTATTGACGCATTCCGTCCAATTGACAACAATAGGCCAGGCGACATCTAGTGTATATATCTATGCTCAACCACCCTCCTTTCCCTGTCCGCTGTTTGCTTTCACTTTCTTCTCTATTCCCAACCCTCTTCACTACGCAACACCTCCGCCCCGGACGGCCACAACACCCCTCCACCATCTAATACCACGCATAACCCCCGCTCGTCAATTTCACGCACACCTCTACATCCTCGGGTAACATGCTGGATCCGTAACCCCGATCTGTTCCGAGACCTCACAATTCACAAATTAAGCACTGGGCACAACTGTTTGAAGTGATGAAAGTGGGCTGTAAATGTTGTGTAAAGCCGCTCCTCTATGGCTCATGTGAGTTCTCAGTGGGCGGAGGGATATTTTCAGGATAAATCTGCATGCATTAAATATTCATGAGTGCATTAGGAGGCACATCTGGCTTGTGGAATGGCTCTGTAATGTCAGCGATGGCCGTTTTCAGTCCAGATGAGTTTAACGACGATCAGGAGATCTGATCTCAGAACTGTAAGACTGTGTGTTTGATGGCGAACTGCTTACTGCCACATTTAAAGGAGTTTACAGGGATGCATCGAAGGGATGAAGGGAGATCTGTTGCCCTGATGCAAGGACACAAACAGATACACACACACACACAAACACACAAACAGAGACCCACAGGCAGACTAACACCTGGTTTTGCTCAGGTGTCAAAGGTCAGACTTTGGCGTCTGTGTGTGTCGTTTATGCTGACATTAAACACAACCTGTAAATCTGACTGCTTCCTGAAGGAAACCTGAGCGCTCATGCGGAAATAAACACTCAGTCCTGTAGAGTGTGTGCGTGTTTGCGTACCTTTGTGTGTGTGTGTGTGTGTGTGTGTGTGTGTGTGTGTTTGCATGCGTTTCTGTTTTTGTGTATGTTTGGGTGCATGTGTGCGTTTGGGTGTGTGTGTGTGTGTGTGTGTGTGTGTTTGCATGTGTTTCTGTTTTTGTGTATGTTTGGGTGCATGTGTGCATTTGGGTGTGTGTGTTTGCATGTATTTCTGTTTTTGTGTATGTTTGGGTGCATGTGTGCATTTGGGTGTGTGTGTTTGCATGTGTTTCTGTTTTTGTGTATGTTTGGGTGCATGCGTGCGTTCGAGTGTGTATGTGTGTTCGTGCACATGAATGTGGATCTGTCTGTGGACGTGTTCGAGTACATTTGTGTGTGTTTGTGTATGTTTTTGTGTTTGCAAATGTTTGTGAGCCTGTTGGTGTGTGTGTGCACATGTGAGTGTTTGTGCGTGGGTGTTCGTGTGTTAGCGAGTGTATGTTTGCATGTATGTCCTTCAGATCCTTCATAATTCTGTCTGTGTGTTCAGCTGGAACTGGATCAGCTCCTCTGAACGGTTTGTTGTTCTCCAGAATGATCTCTTGTCTCTTCAAACTCGTATGCTAACTGTGTGTGTTTCTCCTCAGGAACTCTGGGAGTGGTGACTGAGGTCACGATGAAGATCCGACCCATTCCTGAGTACCAGAAGTACGGCTCGGTGGTGTTCCCCAACTTCCAGCAGGGTGTGGCGTGTCTGAGAGAGGTGGCCCGACAGGTCAGCACTACACACACACACACACACTAGTGATATTCAAATTAAGTAACTGACTCTGCTGTTCAGGTTCCGCTCTGCTCCTCTATCTGTTCATCTCAACTCGCTCTTGCTTTAAAAATAAAGTAAAACAGGCTTAAATTTGCCGTACTGTAGGCAATAATAAATTGTAGCTGAGCAATAACAGTGTTGTAGATTTGTTTAGACGTGCAGGAGATCATCATAACAAATGTCTGTGTATTAACCTGTTTCTGTCTGAGCAAGTTGATTTGATTATTATTCTTTTGTTTCAGAGATGTGCTCCAGCATCTATTCGGCTAATGGACAACGAGCAGTTTCAGTTCGGTGAGTTTAATGTTATCTTCAGATCTACAAAAGATCTCAGTAAGGTTAAAATAGTTTTGCAAAGTTTATATTTTAATTTTTAAAATCTGCTGCACATTTCTGTTTCGTTTTTAGGTTGTTTCATTACGTTTTTTTCAGTTTAGTTTTTATTTTGTGAACAGATCTGCATGTCGTGTTTATATTTCGATTTTAGTTTTGATAATTCTAGTTTAATAAAAAGCACATGTAGTGTCGAGCAGAGCAAAGTTTTGTGTTTGCACATCAAGTCTCGTGCAAAGCGCTTATATAAAAAAATGATCGTTTGAAGAAACACTGAATATAAAACCATGCAAAGCAACTTAAACGAATGAAAGTAGAAATGATGAAGAATTCAGACAGTTTTTATTTTAACGATCGTGTTGTTGAAGGTGTTCAGCGTGTAGTTTGCATTTATTGGGGCAAATAAAGAAAAGTTAAAAGCGTATATAGCAAAGATGTGCCTTTATATAATCATTCGCTTCACTGATGTGTTTGGCGCCATCTACTGGTACTTTTTATAGTCACAGATTATGTTTCGCGCAACAGAATGAGTGCTTAATAATTCTGAAAACAATTGTTTATTTTTTACTAATAGTTATATTTTTCAGTGTCTGATTCATTTGCTTTTAGTTTTACATTTATTGTGATTTTGTTTTGATTTTATTTCAGATAACGAAAAAAATGTTTGACCAATAGTTTGTCTTTGGTTTCGTTGACTAAAATAAGTCTCGCCAACACAATCTCATGGCAATTCGTAACTTTTTGATTTACTGGCTAATTCGTAAGAATTCATGTGATCTAATTTGTACAATTTAGTAAGATTTGCTCTTTACCCAATGACGATTGGGGTTAGGGGTGGGGTTAGGTGCCACGCCTCCTTTTTAAAAAAAAAAATTGTACAAATTAGCCACTAAACTGTTAAAACATAAAATACATACGTTTCCACATGAGATCAGGCTGGTCTCGCAGTCTCTCTCACTAGTATTTATTCAGTTATTTTTGTTCATTATAATGTTGTTTCAGTTTGTTTTCAGTGACTGTCGTTAATTTCAATTTGTTTTAGTTTTTCCATTTATTGCAAATTAAATATTTTATTTGTGAAAATATTTTTAACCAATAGATTGTTTTTGGATTTTTAGTTGACTAAAATAAGTCTCGCAGTCTCTCTTTATAACTGTTTATTCAGTCTAGCAGACTGAAATGTTTGGCGCCATCTACTGGTAATTTTGTACACAGTAGCAGGTCAGATTTTCCGCAACAGAATGAGTGCTTATTAATTCTAAAAATGATTGTTTATTTTTGTTCATTATAATATTCTTTCAGTTTGTTTTTTGCTGACTGTAGTTGGTTTGGTTTTGTTTTTCGTTTACTGTGAATTAAAAGCTTTTCTTCAGTTAGCGAAAATATTTTTTGACCAGTAGTTTGTTTTTGGCTTCATTGTCTAAAATAAATCACGCAGTCTCTCTCACTAGCATTTATGCAGTCTAACACACTGGAGTATTTGGTGCCATCTACTGGCATTTTTATATAGTCGCAGGTCAGATTTTCCACCACAAAATGCGTGCATATCAATAATAAAAACAATTTAATTCTCTATCATTGTTATATTTCAGTTCGTTTTTCACTGACTGTTTTTACTTTTGGCTTATTTTAGTTGTTCATTTATTGTGAATTTTAAAAAATATTTTATTTCAGTTAACGAAAAAATGTTGACCTATAGTTTGCCTGGTTTCATTGGCTAAAGTAAGTCTTTCATTCTGTATCTAGTATTTATTCAGTCTAACAGACTGGTGTGTTTGGCGCCATCTACTGGTATTTGTTTTCAGTTTCTTTTTCATTTAGTTTTCGTTTATTGTGAATTTATTTTTCAGTTAACGAAAATATTTTTATCTTAGTATTCATTGACTAAAATAAGTCTAGCAGTCTCTCTCACTAGTATTTATTCATACTGATGTGTTTGGTCGCCATCTACTGGTACTTTTATATACAGCCGCAGGTCAGATTTTCCACCACAGAAGAGTGCTGAATTATTCTGAAAACAATTGTTTATTTTTGTTCATTATAATGTTGTTTCAGTTTGTTTGAAGCTGCGGTCACACTGCATTTTCTCCCCATAGACTTTCATTCATACGCAATCAAATGCGTCATTTATTTCAGTTTTGTACTGCAGTTCGCTGCTTGGAAAGTTAAAGCTTGATGAGCTCTGCCCTGCAAAATTGAATCACTTGACTGCGTGAGACCAATCAAAGATCAAAACATGACCTCTCTGTACAGAAATGTAAAATATGGACCAATCGCTAGCTTTTTTAAATGTCTGATCTTGTTTAATCCCGCCCCTTTTCGCAGAGCTGTACGACAAAATTTCGCACAGACAAACTCTAGTGTGACAGAGAATGGAGATCACTGATTCACATCTGCCTAAAGCAAGTCCACAAATTACTCCCACAAACATGCCAAACACAGAGTAAGAAGTCTTATTAGAGTGTATTGTTGTTTTTCCAGAGAGTTACAGAATCATAACTCAACGCTTTGAATACTTTTGCTTTTAAAGTTGGCTCTTTGGAGTTCTTAAAAGCTGAATCTGTTGATATTTAGTGGGAGCTGTCAATCAGACAAACTTTGTCCAATCACAGCGCACAGTGTTCCGCTGGCCAATCAGAGCACTCGTGGCTTTGGTAAAGGGGAGGGGCTTGTAAGAAGCAGAATCCAAACAAAGCATTTCTGCAATAATAAGTGTTTTTAAACATGATGTTGTTATTATTATAATGTTTAATTCAGCTATTTCTACTTGTTTGTCTTTCTGTGATGGCCACATAAAATCCATCTTTATTCTGCTCTCAACTGAGCTCAGTCGGTAGATGGAGCTTTGTTTTTATTGCGTCTCGTCGTTGTTGTTGTTGTTGTTTTTATATTCATTACGTCAAGTGGTTTAGTTCGGTGTGTGGTGTAATCGATCTCCCCAGAATCCCCCCACTCACGTATAAACTGAAATACATCGTTATTTCACTGAATGCGAATGCACACACACACACACACACACACACACACACAGTTCAGCAGCAGTGAAAAATGGCCCCGGCAGCAATTAAGCGTTCAGCGCAGACGAGTTTTAACAGCGTTACATGCGGAGACGAGCGGTTGCCAGATCTGGAGAAGTTGCGTTCGTCTCCGGGGATCTCATTAACTCCTGTAGGCCTCTGTGTTTTCATCTGCTGTGCACTTCTGAGGGTACAGAGATGTATTGACTCTTTAATGAAGACGCCGCTCTTGGTAATCATAATGGGCTTTTTTTTTTGTTTTTTGCAGCATGCACACTCTTTAGGGCCAGACGCCGGGTGTGTGGCGGCGTTATTTTTATATCTGTGTTGAAGGTAATTAGGGTTAGTGTGAGTGTGTGTGTTCAGACACGCTGACTGTGGAATCTGTGGATGCTTCAGAATTAAAGGTCATTGGGAAGTTTATGATGTGTAGCTGCACAATGTAGTCACAGTTATTTTATGTTACGGTAAGGTACAACAAGGTAAAACAGACACTAAATATTGTCAATAATAAAAATGTAATTAATTAAAATTATACAATACAATATACAACTAACAATTATAGGGCTCCATTTTAACAATCGGCGCCTAAAGTGCTTGGAGCAAAAGCGTTAAGGGCGTGTCCAAATCTAGTTTGCTATTTTAAGGATGGGAAAAATAATCTGTGGACCAGGCGCATGGTCTAACAGGGTTGTGCTTATATCCTTAATGAGTTCTGGGTGTGTTTTGAGAATAAACCAGAGTCTCATCTCTCATTCCCTTTAAGAGTCAGTTGCGTCACAACATGGCGCATTTGCTATTTACATGGCAGACTTTGTAAGTTTAAAAACTGAACGCTTCACCAGCAAGAAAGCAGAGTTAAACAGAACATCTGCAGCGCGAGGATAAAGAACGAGCCTCCTCCATTCAGCCTCTTTACTTTAGCTTTACTTTATTTTTACTCTTTACTCCTTTACTTTGGTGGAGTGAGGAAACGGTGGAAACTCACTCCACTCAACACATCCAGTAGCCAACATATTTAATTTTTGTTTGTTAAGCGCAAAGATTTGTTTGAAAACTATTTCTAAATTCAGTTCTGATTTCCAGCAAAGAAATAAATGAACAATAATGAAGTGTGGTCAAAACACTGAGTTGTATCCAAACACACGTCCTGTTCTAATGAGTCATATGGTGATGCAGACGCCTCCAAAACCCCACAGCTGGACAAATCTACACTTGTTTTTATTAAAACAAATATAAATATTCATATAATAAATAATTCTACTACTACTAATAATAATTAATAATAATAATATTATATTTTGCTGTTATTTAATTTTATCAATATTATATATAGCTATAACGGTCTATATTATTATATATTATATAGTATATTTTATAAACTATATTTATAAAATATATTTTTAAATCTATATTATATTTAATCACATACAATTTAACGCTCTGCTTTAAATGTAAAATATAAAGTCTGTTTTTCTGGTGTTATCATCATTAAAGTAGGAGACTAACAAAAAATAGTTAGGTTGCTGATTGAGACGCACCCAATGTATTTTCGTCATTTCAGTGTGTAAGTGCAGATATCCATGCAGATGAATGCACCACGGTGTGTCAGATGACAGATTTGTACAGTTGTACAGTATATATCACAGGCAGACGACAGGAGGAGCGTGACTGAACACGACATTAGCGTTAGCCTGTGTCAACACTACTAGCATGGTTGATATATTTGACACACACATGCTCCATCTCAATTCACTTACTTGTACTACATCTGAACTACATACTTTTGAGTGTGTAACTCATTTGATTTGGGACAATCTCTTTTAAGGTCACGTGTTATTAAAATAAGGGTTTTTAGATGTCAGTAGTTTTAAGGAGCATTTTAAGGCCGGGATTCATCAGTGGATCGCTCATACCTCAGTTTATAGACAAACTAGCTGATCGACATGACTTTAAACACTCCAGTGTCCTTGTATCTCAGTTTACACACAGTAAACAGCGGTGAGTTTGGTGAACCTTCACAGCCAATCACAGTCATTTCTGTTGAGCGCTTGTCCACAATGGCCAATCAGCGCAGTGTTTAAGAACACGAGCTCAACTGCGCTCAAATGTCAGCAGGAAATGAACGTTTTTAACATTTTAGTGTTGATCGGTACCGAATTCCAGTATCGTGACAACTCTAATGTAAATGAATGACTCTGTGTTTGCTGATGTTTACACAGGTCATGCGCTCAAGCCTCAAGTGTCCTCCATATTCACCTCATTCTTGGACGGGTTGAAAAAATTCTACATCACGAAGGTGAGAGAGAATCATTGATATGTTTATTAATCTGCTGTCTGAAATGCCTCACTTTGATTGGTCGGTCACAGTGTTGTGCAGTGAAACAGTGTCCGTCCACTTTGCTCTCACAAAATATATTTAAAAATTTAATATCATATACATTCACCGGCCACTTTATTAGGTACACCTGTCCAACTGCTTGTTAACGCAATTTTCTAATCGGCCAATCACATGGTAGCAACTCAATGCATTTAGGCATGTAGACATCAAGACGATCTGCTGCAGTTCAAAGCGAGCATCAGAATGGAGAAGAAAGGGGATTTAAGTGACTTTGAAAGTGGCATGGTTGTTTGTGCCAGACAGGCTGCTCTGAGTATTTCAGAAACTGCTGATCTACTGGGATTTTCATGCACAACCATCTCTAGGGTTTACAGAGAATGCTCCGACAAAGAGGAAATATCCAGTGAGCGGCAGTTCTGTGGGCGCAAATGCCTTGTTGATGGTCAGAGGAGAATGGCCAGACTGGTTCCAGCTGATAGAAAGGCAACAGTAACTCAAATAAGCACTCGTTACAACCGAGCTCTGCAGAAGAGCATCTCTGAACACACAACACGTCCAACCTTGAGGCGGATGGGCTACAGCAGCAGAAGAGCACACCGGGTGCCGCTCCTGTCAGCTAAGAACAGGAAACTGAGGCTACAATTCACACAGACTCACCAAAACTGGACAATAGAAGATTGGAGAAACGTTGCTGCTCTGATGAGTCTCCATTTCTGCTGACACATTCGGATGCTCGGGGCAGAATTTGGCCTCAACAACATGAAAGCATGGATCATCCTGCCTTGTATCAGCGGTTCAGGCTGGTGGTGGTGGTGTAATGGTGTGGGGGAGATTTTCTTTGGGTCCATTAGTACCAATTGAGCATCAACGCCACAGCCTACCTGAGTATTGCTGCTGACCATGTCCATCCCTTTATGAGCACAGTGTCTCCATCTTCTGATGGCTACTTCCAGCAGGATAACGCAGCATGTCATAAAGCTCAATCATCTCAGACTGGTTTCTTGAACATGACGATGAGTTCACTGTA